ATATATGTAGGTTCAATTTCAGACAGTGCTGCGTGATTCATATAGGGGTATGTAAAAAAAAATATACAAATAGTGATTACTTTCTGTACGTCCCAAAAATCGCTGTTATTGTAGGATAAGGAATCTGGCCGTGGCAAAGGAGAAGCCACAGTCACATATGACGACCCTCCGACAGCCGAATCGGCTATATCCTGGTTTGATGGAAAGGAGTTTATGGGCCATACTATTAAGGTTCAAGTTGCCCAGCGTAAAGCCAGTTGGGTACCCCCGCAACGAGGAGGTCGTGGGCGGGGAGGTGCCCGAGGTGGCGGCGGCGGCGGTGGTGGTGGTGGTGGTGGACGTGGCGGAGGTGGTTTCCGAGGTGGTGATGATCGTCGCTCTGAAGGGGACTGGCCTTGTGACTCATGTGGTTAGTGTCACACTACACTATTAGGTGTTTTTGATATTTAAAAAAATTTGCAAGGTAAACTCGACGAGCAGAAAGACAAACAGAGGTTCTAGATTGCTAGTGTTTATTCGGAAGTTTGTTTCTCTTTGTGTGCATTCATATTTAAAAATGTAAAAACTTTATAATTAGTAGTTGATTGAAACGGCGAAGGTTTGTTTTTAAATATCATGGTATTTTCTCGGCTAAATTTATGGCAATTATTGCAAATATAACGCTAGAACAGTGCGCCAAAGGACACAATGTTTATGAAAAAACGATTGTAATGAAACATCTTGGGAGGTATGAAATTCATAACAGAATGTATACCTTTTTTTATATATTTATGTGCACTTGTAATATCACAGGTAACAAGAACTTCAGTTGGCGAAATAGCTGCAACCGTTGCGAAGCTCCGAAGCCCGGAGGTGGCGGCGGTGGTAATGATCGCGGCGACCGAAGCGACAGGGGTTACAATCGCCACAGACCCTATTAAGAATAATAATAATAATGATAAGATTATTGATAATACTGACAACAAAGTCATAGCAGAACAACGAAATCTACTGTCTAATGTCTGCGAGTCCAATTTATGTGAGACTGCTTTCATCACTACCTATTCGCGTTCCCTTAGTTTGACTGAACTAATTCTACACCATTGGTCGCGTACTATTGCCAAAACCCATCCATCATTATGTAATATTGATAGTAAAATATCCGTTTCATTTAACTACTTCATTTCATGTATCTGTAGCTATATATATGGGGTATCATCATATTGGGCTCGTAGAGGCGTAAAAATAAATTTAGGCAAAACGAAAGTGCAAAAATTATTAATATGAAGCGAAAATCATTTAAAACAAACTAGCAAATGCTTGTTGGAAACACGCAAGCATAATTATAATAAGGCCTAAATAAATATATTACACTAAACAAATATTGTTGTTCTTTACGGAAGTGGTTTGTTGAAGATGATTAGAGATACACCCATGAGCATTTATAAATTCTACTTATAATAATTCATTTTTGTGTCGTTGGTGCACAGCTTTAGAACCTTGGGTGGAAAGTCTTCAAGTAGGTATTCGTAGGGATACAGCATAAACTGAATATCGCATTTTCGCAGTACTATAAAGGAATGCATCTTAATATGAAACCATCTGAATTATTATCTTAGACGAAAACGGTCGAATACATATCAAATCCTTTTATTTTTTTAATAAGTAGCCATATTGCCAAATGGTGATATGTGGCTGATATATATATATAACCTTGGATGTAAGCTGAGTGTTGCTGATTGATATTGTTACAGCAACGAGTTGCCATGCCGGCTCTGGCTAGCTGTGGCGGTGAACCACTGAACGCAACCTTGCGATGGTAGCATAGTAGACTGGGGTGGTTGTGAACTCATGTAATACTAAACAACTACCAGAAAGCCGTGCAAATTACTCGAAAGCTCTTGTAACAGGTCAAGTCGCGAACTGGTAGATTTGACAGTGAAGCTAGGTATGAACCTGTGATGCACTGAGCTAATTTTCAATCATCCTTCATATATGAATAATTTATGTGAACATAGAAGTTTAGTTGGGTTGTAATGATCGCCAGGTCGTTATTAACTTGCCTAAAATACAAAAAATGAACACCTATTTCACACGTATTGATACCTTTTCTGGAATCACAGCCGTTTTTGCCTGGTCCGAACATTGTTTATCTTTTTTTTGTTGAATCATCGCTAACGACGAGCGAAAAACCTTGCTGAATTTAATTTAGCTCATCTCTAATCAAGAAATTTTCTTATTTTTCACTTACACCTTAAATGATGAGGACCTGCAGCTAAGCCAAGATAGATGTCTTCACTATCATAGCCCAGTACAAAATGCAAAAGCACTTTATCTATTTTACGTTGCCGCGGCGAAATAGAGGCTTTCTGCGTCGTGTTTACTGCATATCTAAAAATGAAATCTTGAATCGAAGTACTGTACAATACAGGTAGCACTATTGGTTACGATATATGCCTGCCACTAGCTTTTTAGGAAATTATTTGTTTCTAAATATAAAATTTATAATAGCTTCGGAGGAAGTGCTTAAGTATGGAAACCGGAACAATTGTTTGCTTAAAAAATATCTTAAAGATATCTAAGATTCGAACGAGATCATAACACAACTGTAATGCAATTTTGATCAAAGCGCAATCGACACGTTTCATGTCGATAGAAGATAGATAGATATGCACCCCAATTTTTAGCATAATGGTTTATAAAATCACCAAAATAATATCAAGAACGTCTGCTTAACTCCTAATGATTGAGCTCAAAGTTGGCGTGGGCTGCAAGGCGTCAATAATAAAGCACGTAAACGGTAGCAGCAGTAACCACGCCATTGGCGAAACAGCAATTACAAGCAAACACTTCCTATATACCGTTATGTTATATTATAATTATTGGCATCGCCAGTGAATACTTTGCCAGTAAAGATTAGATGCTTCCAAGTCAAGTCATTTAGAGGATATAAGCGACGAGTAAAAAGAAGCATTTAGGTGATATTTTATGATGGTTGAAAGTGTGAAATTTTGCCGACGTACGAAACCTATATATATATATATAGGTTTATACAGGTTATATATCTATCTGTTTTAGATGCTGCCGTTAATAATGAGTGTCTTCATGATCATCTTTCAGTTAGCGTGTAGCGTTGAAGCTAGCGTTCTAGCAATTTAACGAATCACCCTCAAGAAAGCGATTTGTCGCGGGAATTTAACTGACTTAAGGGTTTATTCCAAACCTAGCAATGCCACTATCAGGTAAAAACGATACATTTCTCCAAAATTCTGGAACATAGAATAATATGGTGCCCTAATTGATAATCTAGAAATGACAGTCGGCATCCGTTTGCATCATAACTTTTTATCTGATACCTTCAGAGTTGCTTAGAAGAATCATGATGAACCATGTTCAAAGAAGTGATATGTCGCATAAAGTTTCTCTAAAGGTCATAAAGGTCCTTTTAAGATACAGAAAAACAGCCACTATAGCGCAACGCGAAATATCTCGAGGGTCCTGCTAAACGAAATGATATGGCGCATGAAATGATATTTTCATGAGGATACTCAGCATGCGTTCACATGAAAACTTATCCGATTCCGTCGTTGTCGGTCTTTGTCAATTTTCATTGGTAATGTAACGACATACTAAACATATATATATACATATGTTTAGATGAGAAACGCAAATACTATTTTACTGTAAGTCGTTCAGAGCGGGGGTTTATTATTTATTTCTTATTTTATTTTTTGCACAGTGGAAAATATTACAAGCAAAAATGCTAAAAAATACAGTAAAATAATACACTTCTTGGAAATCCTATAAATCAGCCTTGATGTCTTTTTCGATAATAGATTAACTACCACTATCAATTAACACATTTGAGCTCGGGAGTTTGACTTGAATGGATATACTCGACATTAATGTTTTGTAGAAATGAAAACTAAGTAAAGATCTGTCTACGTGAACGCAACTAGTCAAGAAGGTTCGATTAGATTGTTACCTATTTCGTCCCATTATCCGTCTCTTATACGGAACAAAGCGGAAACACGTCACACCTGTGTGTCGTCTTTTACTAATCAAATCATTTCTTCCAGCGAATTTCATCCGCTAAGCAAGCAAACATTACTGTCATCATCATGGCATCTGCCAGCACATAACGGTTGCGTTTAGAAACTTCAACGTCTGCCGTTAAATCCATCTATAGGTTAGACTATGCGGATTGTAGCATGGACGATGCACTGTCATCCTATCATTAAGCCATAGCCTACGCTTGTACAAGCTTTAATTGACCTAGACGGTTAACTAATCATATTTCGCTTATTCTGATTTAAAGTCTTCGGGCGTTTTTACAACGCCTAAAGCATTTTAGCACCAATAGTGCTGCCAAAGATTTTGGCTGTAGCTAATGGGAATATGACATTTGATCAATATTACATGCTGTTTGTCCACTTGTTTTCTATGCTTAAAAAATAAAACGTCTTATAGTAAGATATCTATGAAATTTGGAAATTTGCCGATATTGATATTAAGTATCCGCAGGAAAAGAAATTGTATCATCAACTTGTAAACGAAGCCAGGCATTTATCATATTTACCAGTTCATATAAGTATAGAAGAGTGATTTAAGCCGACGCAGTATTGTGCCTAAACAAACTTATTATCAGAAACGCTTGATATTTTTATTTTTTTTTTGAAAAACATTTTTTCTAAAAAACCTTTTCTGTTCATATACGCAGGAAGTATCCGAAACTTTGACTATGCACAGCTACACAGTCTATTCGTTAACTCACTGCATGTAGATATATCGGAAGAGTCGCTAAAACCAGATATATCCTTTAAGTCAGGTATTTTTATACAACATATTATGCATAATAACAATAAAATATTAATATCCGTTACTACATAGTACTGATGATAATTGATACATAAGAAAATTCCAAAAAATAAAGGCCATGTTATTATTCACTTTAGAGTCGAAAAGCCAAAAAGTGGCAGCTCCAAGGTGTTGAAGGTTATTAAAAATGTTCCCTGAAGCGCGCGGGCGCCTTCATATCGTAATATTGAGAGGTCGAGACAATTGGAGCGCATGTGTATGCGAGTCGTATTATCGCCATAGCCATTGCCTTAATGATTGGAAACATCTCCAAATATGTTGCTGTACGTAAGTTCTTTTTTCTTGCGTGACGTTTCTAGATCACTTAAATTAGAGCCTCTGCGAATTAAAAAGCGTGCTCCGTCTTCCAAGTAGCCTTTAGTCGTTACACCTTTGCAAATCAAATTGTCTGTTGTGTTGAAACATACTCAAGAAATGTGTGCATATACTAAATTAAAAAAACAATGCGTCTATTACCAAAGGTGAAAGCGATTTACCAGTTCTAGGGTCCTACAGGTTACTGATCGAACTCTGTATACAGGCAAAATATATTTAGGTACCAAACACAAAGCGACATACTGAACTGTTGCCTTGACTTGACGTTGCGTGTCCAGAAGTTAGTAGTAGAGCAAATATAGTAGATAACAGGGGCTTACGCATTAATTGGACGAACGGTCTTGTGGCGCATAAGCCTTGTGAAAGAAATAACCATGAGGACGCTATGGCAGTTGCACCTATATATACGCGCAACCATGTATACCTGATACTATACTATATATATATATATATATATACCTGGAGACTATCTTGCCGCTTCAAATGATCGTAGATGTTATGGATGAAAGTTAATCAGAAGCGCAAATAGAAAATGCGTCTCTAACCAATAACCTTTATAAAAAAAATTATCAATGCCTTCTTTTGTTATGAACCCACTCGCTAAATTAGATCCTGATACTTGTAGCAGTTTTCTTAATACGTCCGTGACAGTCATTGCGAAGGCAGTTTTCACTGAACGGCCATTTCCTTTGCATATAAGATACACACGTTTGCAAAACGTGTTGAATTTTTCCGTGTGACAGTTTTCGATACGAGATTTTTTTGTTACGTTAGTCCAATGGATTGGCGTAATACAACTATTGGAAAATCGTTTTTAACTACATAGATCCACTCTTAATTCCGCGAGTTATACGCTGACAAAGGTTGCGCTAAGACGGTTTTAGATTTGTCACCAAGTTTCACATAAGGATTTAGGAATAACGCCTATTAGAACACCACCTAAGGCTACCACTCGGTACACACACCTATAAATATGTCCGCATCAAATCGACTAATTTTTTTCTTGTTGTGACGTTTATTTGTACGTTTTTCTTCTCATTGAAACGTAGGGTATTTTGATGCATCTGAAAATGAATCAGTTAAAATAACGAAAATATATATAGCAGGTTGGTCTCTCCATCGCTTAATAGAAAATTAAATTGTAACTTAAATTATAGAAACAAATTAACTTATTT